AGCATGCAGGCCAGTGGAGCGCCAGCTTCTCCACTCCCTCCCTCTGATACCATATGCATTAGCCCTCCTGACCCAAGATGTACCACTCGCACAGTACAATGCGCAAACCGAATGCTCTTGACATGACTCTGCTGGGCATCTCTCAGCCCACACACTACCATCCTATATACAGTCCTCTACCCTTGAACAAAACTCGGGGAATGGAACAGGAAACAGTGTTGTGAGCACAAGAGATGTCTGCCTACCACAAGCTTCAGAACACAAATGGTTTCCCAGCAAGGTCTGAGACTAAGTGCTTGCTTCAACGGGGTTCAGCCATTTGTTTTTACTTGATGATTATTCTCCTCAACAGTGTTACAGAATCCATGACACAGAAGCAAAAGAGGAAATAAGCACACAATTGCACCTTGGGCTGAAGACTTAATCCAGCTCTTGTGAAAAGGATCGAATCAGGTAGAAAGCGGGTATAGAAGCAGAGAAATTAAGGTAGAGGGGAAATTAACAAAAACAATGACCAAAGGAGACAGAAGAGATGAAGGATAGAGCAGCCAGGTGTACCTTCAAGAGCAGAGATGTTCTTGGCTGGACTCCCTACATAAATGGTCAGTGCTGTCTGCAACTGCACTGATGTGGACCCACAAGCTCCTTCTCTCCTACACCTCTTGAGGGCTCACTAAAGACAACCAGTAAGAACAAGAGGCCATCTGGCTTATGCAGCCTGCCCTAGCCACAAGCCAAGTTCCTCTGTCTCAGTAATTGTGATCCACTGGCTGGGAAATGTATCTATAACTCATATCTCTGACCAGTCCCAAGCCTTATAAACGCTTTCCCTTTGATAGCTCCATCTGGGCTACAGATGTTTGATGCTGGATTCCTTGGGTTCTCCTCCTCCTCCCAGTCTTTGAGAAAGGAACTGCTTTTGGCCTACATTTCTGATTTCTCAATGGGAGGGGTGGGAAAGCATAATAGGGTTTGGAAAGCAAGGACAATCATTAAGCATCAATCATCAATGACTAACAAATGTTGCTCTGTAGTCTCTATAGATCCGAGCCCGTTTCCCACTACCTCCCCCTAAACCGTGAGCTCCTAAATGGATGGACTCTCTGCCTAGCATACTCACTTGTCCAATAAGTGTCTGGCAAAGCAATTGTTGAAGTTGGATATTTTAAGAGTCACAAAATAATGGTACTGTGATACTGAGTTCTGTGATTTAATTGTAATAGTAAGAGTGTTATACATGGCTAATTTAGTTCAGAAGTGGCCACTCACTTTACCAACCCCAAGGATCTCATAGAAACCCAGAGAGCAGGGTCTCTTAGGAATCCAAAGTTCTGTCAAATAATTCAAGCCATGGCACAGAAAAGTACTTAATTGGCCACGTTCTGTTTTTCATGCTTCAGCCTGTACTTAAATCCAGAGAATTTAGAAGAAAAATTCAAGCCCTCCAGTAAGTTGTTAGCACTCTCCTTTATGTGTTCTTTTATTTGTCTCTCTGCTTAGCTAAATGTATCTGACACACCATAAGAACCTGATAAGTACTAGTGTCTTACATTTTTCCTCACCAATAAGAGTTATAAAGATAATTAAATGTTTTAATAATAAAAATTCAGCACAAGAACATACTGTAGATGATAAAAATCTTCACATGTAGAATAAGTATGAGGGTATTGAAGGAGAGAAAACCTTTACCTCTTACTATGTATTTTGGGTTTCATCTTTTAGAAAAGGAAATTTGGGGAAAATTAATTATAAGTACAGATTTTAAAGTGTTTTCCCTACCTTGTAAATAAGCATTAGACTTTTGAAATAAACCACTAGCATGAAAAAAAAAAAAAACAGGAAAGAATTCTTTTGAATCTTATTTTCATAAAAAAAAAAAAAACAAAAACAAAAAAAAAAACCCTTACAACTTTGATAAAAATGGTTGGCTAAAGAGATGGTACAGAGGTTGACAGCACATACTACTATTTCAGTGGACCCAACTTTGGTTCCCAACCCCCATACTGGACAGTTCACAGCTACCTTTAACTCCAGCTCCAGGAGATCCAATGTGTCTAACCCCCACATACCAGCACACATATGTACAAACCCATACACACACACACACACACACACACACACACACAAAGACTCAAAATTTAAAATAATAAAACAAAATCTTTAAAAATTAAAATCTTAAAAAAATAGACCAATATTTAAAAATTAGACTTAAGTTGACAGAAAGATTAGAAGATAATCGCTCTTCACTCTTTAAGCTAAAGTCAAACATATGTTAACATGTTAGTACACGTGGGTTGGTATAGTGTAGGACATTATATAGTAACTAGACCTGGGGAGCTAGGGGGTGGAGGCGGCCCTCGCTTCATCCAGTCTACTCATCAACCCGGTACTCCCAGAACTGGGCACCCCCTTGGGCTGCACTGAAAAATTAAAAGACAAAATTAAAGAAATATACCCAACAAAAAAAAACCTAAATAACGAAAAAAAAACATATAAAAGAAATGAAAAGTCAAGGAGTCCGCGTATCCAGGTGACTGAGGAGAAAAACAAAATAGAACGGAGAAATATCAAAATAATCATTTTAATAGAAAAAAATGTCATAGTTAAGGACAATAAATGTTCAAATTTAGAGAACCATCTAGGTGCTCAAAAAATGAAATGAAAACAATCAGAGCCCGACTCTGGGGTGATTCCTAGAAGAGAGGGAAGTTGACTAAACATGGCTGCCTGTGCAATCTAATGCTGGAACACAGAGAAGAAAGGAGGGGTTAGGAGTTTGCTCCTCCTCACTGAATACAATCTCAGGCTTTGACTATAAAGATTTAGGGCTAGGGAGATGGCTCAGTCAAGGAAGAGTTCTCATTGTAAGCAGGAGAATTTGAGTGTAATAGCCAGATGCCATGTATACAAAACAACCCAGCCAACCTAGTGGTGTGGGCATGTAACCTGAGAACTAAGGGTGTGAAAACAGCCCTCCTTCCCTGGGGTTCAAATCTGTCCAGCATGCTCCAGGCCATCGAGAGACTATGTGTCAAGAAAAAGGTTGACAGTACCTGAAGATAACCTGTGGCTGTCCTGTACCCTCCACATGCATGCACCTAGACATGCACACACATGTATGTACATTCACACAAACGCCCACACAAGTATGCACATGCACACACACACTGAGATTTAAATATTCTTAAAAAAAATGTTCAAACATTTAGGGCTGGGAGTTTTGCTTAGTAGTGGTGCTTGTGTATAATCAAGGCACTGGATTTATGCCTCCTAAAAGAATAAATATCATCTTTAGGTACATCAAATATCGTACGTCAGCATCAGGCCTGTTTAATACAGGGAATGAAGTGTGTTCACATAAGAACTCTGAGACAGTGAGGGGAATAAGTTATAAAGACTTGGGATATGAGTAATGCGGCCAACATTCAAAAAGACCGTGGACCATTCTGAAGATAATGGTGCCTGGGCACCTTGATAGATTATTACTGTGACTCAGATGAGGGTGCCTGGTGTGGTTTTGATCTGATAGGTCGTCTCTCAAAGCCTCATACGTTAAAGCATTTGTTACCAAGTGACAACTTTTGGAAGCAGTGGATCATCGTTTAATGCCGTTATTGGGAGGTAGTAGAGACTCAAGAGATGGGACCTACTGAAGGGGGTAAGACAGCAGGACATGCTGCTAAAGAGCCTCCAACCTCTCAGACTTTCTCTTCTTCCTAGCTATCATAAAGTAACAGCGTTCCTCCATTGTGCTCTATGGTCTCACCATAGGTCCTGATACCTACACAGAAACTTCTAAGATCACAAGTCAAAATAGATGTTTCCTCTTTTAAATCACTACCCCCAGGCATCTGTTGCAGAAAGAAAAAAAAAAAGTCTGCAGACAAGTGTAGCTTTATAAGGGTTTTATTTTCATTCTCTCTTAGCTACTTTGTATGGGTTCTTCCTGAGTTCTCTGTTTCTGGGTCAGCTTCTCAGCTCCTCCTGGCTCAACTGTCACCAACTATCTTCTCTTCTCATTCTGCTAGCTCAACTCACTTTCAGTTGTCTCTTATTTTCACTCTGACCAATCTCATCTGCCTTCTAGTCCTACTCTCTCTTCTCTCTTCCCGCATCAACTGTCTTCTCTGACCCTACTCTTCTTCCAGCTGGACCCTACCTCCTCCTGTCTATTCCTACTCTCTGGATCTCAGACTCTGCTGGCTTTTTATAGCCTCACCTATTCCCAGAAGTTAATAGGACAACTTACACTGAAGGGCATAGGGCTCTTTAAAGGGCCCACACACAAAATAAATCACATTACAAACAAGTCCTTCAAAGACCAGAGTAGTGATAGAATTTAGAGAATTCAAGTCTAGTGGGAGGTTCTTGAATCCTCAAGGCTGTGCTCTTAAAGGGGATTGCAAGACCCTGGCCTCTTCTTCTTCTTGTCTTGCTTCCTGAAGCATGAAGCCAACAGTATGCTCCTGCCACAGTGGCTTGATTTATCCACCAGGCCCAACTGGACTTGGACTAGTTCATCCAGAAAATGAGCCAAAATAACCTCACTTCAGGTATGTCATTAGACCGACAGAAATTTTACTAACTCACCAACTCCATCACTCAAGACAGTGGCTTTTTCAAAGATCAGGGAGACTGAGAAACACTTCCTTTTCTCTCTGGTGAATGCTGTGTTTCTTCTTGAGGATTCCTTGGCCGCCTCTGGTAGGAATCCTTGAGCTCCTGTGTGCCTCCATTTCCCTGGGTGTGTTCCTTTTGGTGTTCTGTGTAAGCTCCAAAGACCCTGAGCCCTTTGAGAGCTGTACCTTACCTTAGGCATTTCCGGGTCCTTAATTACCTCATACACCCAGTACTTGCGAAAAGCCCAGGAAAGCCTAGTAAGGGAGGACCTTTTATTTGGGGACTGTGTGAACCCCCGCTTAGCCTCCTGGAATCGAAAGAATAACATAGCGGTAGGAACGGACCCTGTAAGAAGGAAAACCCAAACCCCAGTTCCTTACCTCTTGGGTGAGTCAGGGTCAAAGCAAGTCTTGCGGACATCGGTCACTTCAGGATCACAGCAGTCCCCGTCATCAAAATCATTCAGCATGTTATTGCACTCCACGTGACAGCGTCCATCCCTGCGATTCCAGGAGTAGCAGCGGCCCTGCAGGCGGCAATCGCCCCCATCGTAGCCAGTGAGTGGATGCTCACACTCAGGGTCACAGTGGTCATTGCCAATCTTGCTGGGCTCACAGTTAACGAGCACAACCCGGTGGCGAAGAGTGGAGTTGTGGACCCAGTGGACACTCAGCTGCCAGCTGATGTTGTAGCTGCTGAAGGCCTCATTCAGCGCCTGGTGCTGCCGGCGGATCTGATCGTCGCTCACAATGGGATGCAGCCCCTCATCATCACAGATGTTGACCACCTGGTAACGGATCACTTTCTCTCGCCGAAGGGGCCCGTGCTTGTTGTACTGGGAGATCAGTTCCACGTTGTCGCAAGCTGTTTGCCCACAGGGTGGGGGCTGTAAAGGTGACAGAATCTCAGGCTGTGACTCAGAGTCCTTGAGAACCTCCAGCCAGGGATATGTCTCATCTCTAAAGGGGACCCACTGTTCCTTCAGAGGAGCGAAAGTAGCTGTCAGGATCAGGGTGTTCAACTCATCTGCTCCGCCTGGATGCTGCAGACTGTGCTGGAGGTGCGTTTGTGAGAGGGCGGTCGACCAGATGGCCAGCATTCCCAGGTATCCGCGGAAATAATGCCCATCTTCGGAGCTGTCCCCTCCCAGGAGCAGAGATCGGCAACACGCCATGAAAGGGCTATTCAGTGGGCCAGACTGGTCAGGACTACTAGCCACTCGAGTGCCGTCCACGTACAGAGCTATACGCTGTCCATCGTAAGTGGCTGCCACGTGAGTCCATGTGCCTGGCCGGTAGCGGCTGTGGCTAATCACAACAGTAGCTTTCTTCACTCGGTCCGTGCGGAGGGAAAAGAAGAAGCGAGCATCTCTCCTCCCCTTGTCCTGCCCTGAGCGGATCCCCAGGGCCCAGCCCTTGTCACTGGCCGTGTGAGAGCAGTTATCAAATACACCTGGGAAAGAAGGAAGAGTTGAAGGGAGAAAGGCCAGATACAAAGGAAGTGAAGAAAGGGAAAGGAAACTTCGTGTAAATAGCAGGAATGTAGGTTTTCAGCTCCCCACGCTGGCTGCCTGGCTGCCTGTCTATACTCCTATCTCAGATATTCTGACTGTGTTTATCCATCAAACCCTTCCCCCCCCCCCAAAAAAAAAAAAAAAGCTGATTGAAGATTTCATTTACTTTAACTCATTCTGTTAGTTTAAAATAATCAAGATACAAGCCGGGAAGAAGACATCCAACAGAAATGATGACTCCCCTTCACTGCAGATGGTCTTCATGCTCATGGATTTTGAGGGCCTGCCTTCCCTCACTGACACTAGCATCTTTGCATATTCCCAGAAGCCATGATGGAAGCCATAGAGTCCAGCCAAGGGTCAAGCCTCAAAAAATGAGGCAGTTATGAGAACACCATTTTCTACCTAGTGATTTCTCTCACCAAACACAAGCAGGACTTCCCAAGTAAATGAGATCCCTGCATGCCCTGACCCACTGCCAGGCTTGGAGCAAGCTCTAGACCAATAAATTCATGTGAATGAATACTGGCAGGAATACTTGTGGATACTAATTCTGAAGATGAAGGCAGCAAGAAGCATGCTAGTGACATGCTGGTAGGGGCACAGGTGGGAGGGAACCCTCAGGTATAGTGGAGTCCTTGAAAGCCTGAGTCCTTCTTTTTGATTGATTCACTATCTCTTGGTGAGTAACTTCTTCTCCAATATACTGTAAGGCAGCGTTTCTCAACCTGGGTGCAGTGACCCTGTTGGCAAACCTCTATCTCCAAAAATATTTGCATTGTGATTCCTAACAGTGCAAAATTACAGTTATGAAGTGGAAATGAGAGTAATTTAATGGTTGGGGGGTCATCACAACATGAGGAACGGTATTAAAGCAGAAGGAAGGCTTCGAACCACTGCACTGAGGAGCGGTTTTATTAGCAAACCACATAAAAGCGTCACGCTTCCATGGAAACACTCGGTGTGATAAGTATTTCTTGTATTGATGAATGATCGATAGAGAGTCTAAGGATCTGGCACCTGAGGGTAAAATGAGTTGTTCGCTCTGGGACTGTTAGACAATAATTTTGTCTGTTCCCTAGATTACTGCATAATCTAAGCCAACAATATTTGTCCATGGGTGGATTGGATTTATGAGTCTTTTTCTTTTTGATTAATTCCTTGATGATTTTATGCAATGTCTTTTTTATCATATTCATGCCCTCCTCAAACCCCTCCCAGAGCACCCCTTCTCAGGTCCAGTTTGGGAGACTGTGTTTACTTTAAGCGTTCACATTCACTTAAAGCAAATTGTTATATTTTCATGAAAGACAGAATATCTTCTTTTGTCCCTGACATAAATTAATAACTTGAAATTTAAGGGGTAAAAGTTACTTTAGACAGTGTAGTGCCTTGTCAACTGAGTAATTAAACTTTGAAGGATGATAATGAGATAGTAATAATATCATAGTAATAAAGAATAAAAATTAAACTAGCAATTTAGCCTTGAAGAATAGGTAATGACTACCTATAGTGCAATTCCTGCTTGTCAGAATTAATTTGTTGTTGTTGTTGTTGGGGTTTTTATTTATTTTGCTTTGTTTTCTGTTCTTTTGCTGTTGTTTTTCTATTAAGAGAGTGTAAGAACTAATTTTCTAGACATCCTGGGTAAGGTGGATTTTCACAAAGAAGACAAATCTGCTCTAGTCAGTACTAAGTTCCTTGCTTCATACTCTCTTCTGGCTTCACAGGTTTTGAAAAGTACAGTATTATCTTAATTATGTCCAACCAATGACCTGTGAACAAAAGTGCCACAATATCTATTATGAGGACCATAAACACTGATAGCTCAGCTACATGCTGATTAAAAAAAAAAAGAATTTGACATTTATCTGACACTAGCTTATCAAGGCTGGCTTTCCTCCTCTGTCAGTAGACTAGGAAAGGGCCTACAGGGAGATGAGGAAAGGTGCGTGGAGCTGGGAGGAGACAAGGGAGGGGTCTGCAGCAAGGATATAAAGTGAATAAATTGTAAAATGTATATATAAATAAAATTAAATTTAAAAACAATAAATACAAATAAAATAAACAAACAAAACAAAACAACAAAAAGATTTTGACATTTAGAAACTGAGAAGCCTATGGGCTTAAGCAGGAAGGTCTATGATCTCTCTGTGAATGGTCCTTGGTTGGATTATCTGTCTCTGTCTCTGCAGGACACCCCCCACCCGGCCCAGGTTTTTGGCTTTGTTGGTCTCCTTGAAGCAAGTGGTTTCCCTAGAAAGGGGAGCAGAGACTGGCTCAGTGGCCAGCTCTTTCATCACCTCCCTCTGTGGGGTGCAGTCTTGTCAGGCCATAAGACCTGATAGGCTAAGGTCAAATAGAAGGGGAGGGGAGGACCTCCCCTATCAGTGGACTAGGGGAGGGGCATAGAGGAGAAGAGGGAGGGTGGGTAGGATTGGGAGAAGAGGAGGAATGGGGCTAAAGCCTGGATATAAAGTGAATAAACTGTAATTAATTAATTAATTAATTAAAAAGAATTTGACATTTTAAAAAATTTGAAAGTTTATTACAAATTGCTGCATATATAGGTTATATGTGTACAATTGGAGTACAGATACTTTTATATAGTTTTTAGTAAGTTATTAACTAAATCTGGTTGTAGTCTCAAAGACTTATTTACTGTCCTTAGAAATCCTATCTGATTAACAGTACAGTAATTATTGCTACTTAGTTGTCTCACAGGAAGCTATAAAATTTTCAAGTTACTAATTTTCAGTGTTTGCTAATTTCTGTAGTCTAAATTACACCCACAGCACTAATTTTAGGTTGCTAATATGATGTCACTGCACAAGGTATTGGGAAAAGAGGTGCACATTTGGCCCAACCGAACCAGGAGGAGCTGGATCCAGGAGCTCCAGACTAAAAAGGAAAGCAGATTTAAGCAGTCAAATGTCTCCATCGCCCTCTGACTAAAGTGGATGCAGCTGTGTTGCAGATGATGTGACTGTCTGTAATTTGAAAGGGATAAACATTGCCTCTGGTGCAGGTCTTGAGCTTTTGCATATCTACCTGTGCACCAGTTTTACTTGTGAATAAAATCTGTCCATTTCCAAGTCTGTTCTTTATCGCCCTTTAATTATAAGCTGAAACTACAGGGCAGCCTGGCACAGCTCTCTGTGTGCCCTGAGGAAAGCCCCTCGTCCCTACTCACTTGACCCCACTGAGAAGAAACAAGATAAATCTTGTTTCACAGGAAAAAAGACAGAATCACCATATTGGGGACACGTCTCTTTTTTCCAGTCTAGCGCAGAGGCTGACAGAACCAACAGGATGAAAGCCAACCCAACATACGTGGGGAAACTCAGAGTTTGTGCAAGAGTAGGATTTTATAACTCTGGATGTACATGTGATAGAAACAATCCCATTATAACTGGTGTTTATTCATCAAAGCCACATTCTTGGGAAGAACAGAGAGACCAGATCATGAATATGATTTATTAAATCACTCAGCAACAACTGAGTGATTTAAACTGAACTCTGATAGCCCATGGTTAGAAAAATCAGATCAAATGATGTAACTCAAAAGATGACAGTGGGACTGAAGCCAAACATTCGAATCCCATCCTCTTAAAACTTAGAGAATAGTTTTTCAACCCTTCCTTTCAATTGCTTTCTGGAATGCATCAATGTTTACCTAAATTTACATTTGGTTAAACATCTTACAGAGGGGAGGGGTAAATTCAGGGAATATTTTTTTTTTCATTGTATTTGTGCTCTGAGCTCCCAAAACTATATTTAGAAGCCATGATGATCTTAACAGAGAAATATACTCAAGTGTGTCTTCAAGAAAAAAAAAAAAACATTTGTATCCAATTCTCTACTAGTATTAATTACTAGCATTTGGAATTAATAAAGTCATTACTCTTAGGGGAAAAAAAGGTTCTTCTCTTAAACTAGCATACCCCCTGGGAAATATGAAAATTTTAATATAATGTGAGCCTCAAAGCTCTAATGTCATGGATGATGTTTAGTGGGGAGATTTTAAGTGTGCAGATATCACCCTGCTTCTTTCAATTTTGTGAGTTCATTCTTTATGCTTAGGAGATATGCTACTTACACCAAGACGAAATAAAGGAAGACTGAACTTTTAGGGGGCTTTGCTGTGTTCCAACCATGGCTCATGTACCATCCTTATTAATGTACCCCAAATGTGTGAGCCGAATTGGAATATCCTTCCCTGAGGATCAAAAGCTCAACATTGGAAGAGGTAGAAATGGACTCCCAGGCTAGCATCTAGCAAGTGTCAGAAGCAGTGAACAAAACCAAGTCTATTCAACCCAAAAGCCCATGTCCTTTCTACTACAGTAAACTACTTCAAATCATGTTTTTAAAAAAAATGTTATTGCTTGGGAGCAAAAAGAATGGCCTGGGCTGGTGAGTGTGGCATTAATAGATTGACAGATTGCTCTTTTTTTTCCTCTGGGACTCCTGGGAAAATGCACAGGCCCAAAGCCACACCTGGAAATGGTTTGGAGGAGAAATCAAGTGACTGTCATCCTTCAGAGCCTTGCTGAATATCTGATAGCATTTCTAGGCTGCCCACAGGTTTCTTTGTAATATACAACAGTCAGTTACCAAGTCTTAAGGATCCCAAGGCCAAGGAGACTTGAGTTATGTTGACTCAAGAACTGTGGCCACAGAGAAGAGGGTTGAGGAAAGATTTTTGATGAACAGGGAGCTGGAAGCTGGCTTCATTACTGTGGCTTCTGTTATTTCATGTCTAAATACGTGATAGGTAAGAGAGGAGCCTGCCCAGACTTGAAGAAAGCAATGAAAAGGGGAAGTTCCCTCGAGGAGCTCTCTACTGCCAGCACTCATTTCCTTCTCTACCAATCTCACCTGGAATCTTCTGTCAGTTGGCTTTCACTGAAAGCAGTCCTCTAACCACAAGACTAGA